GAATTTGAAACAAGTATTATAAATATATATGTATTATAAATATAACTGATGGCATTTTAGATCTTTCTTTGAACTCTTTTATTTTTGTTTATTTATCTATATTTATTAAACTCTTACTATAAAGTTTTGGGATTGCAAAATGAAGCAACTCTGCTTATAGTTTTAAATTTTGATATCAAGTGTAGTAAATTTTGATATCCCATGCGTCGATGTTTCCATTTGACTGAATTCATTTAATTTAAAAGAAATAAAACGCAAACAGTTTTATAATTATTTTCACTCATTCCGTCAAACAAAAAGATAGATCGAATATGTATATATTTTTGTTTCACTATAGAATATATTTCAAATTGAAAGCCACAAGTATGGTTATTATTAAATATTAAAGAAGAACCTAAAATGATTGTTTTTAATCAACTGATGAACTTGATCATCTTCACTATTTCTTCATAGTGGAATTTTCACTCCCGTCCATCCCAATGCAAAGAGAAGCGCACACCATTCGCTTTTTGAAATAATTCAACTATTATCTAGATTATTAAAATATTTTCATTTTTTCGGATATTATTACATATATGAAATACGATTCCCAGAAGCTGAGAGAGAGATCAGCAGAATAAAAGACATCAAAATTTTTGAGGAATAGTTAATGCACTTTATAATTAGGTTTGTATATGATATAAACACAAATCACAAATTCGCTTGTATTTAATATTTTATTTCGTTGTTCTTACAAATAGAAATTTTATTTAATTCTTATGAGAAAAAGAAACAAACATAATAAATTAATTTAATAGTTAAATATATGCCAAAAGATTTAAGCTATTTAATACATCTAAAACTCGTTAGTTCTATAGACTTATTGCATTTGGTTTTTATACACAGTCAATGATGGTTGTGTTGCGACATTAAAACTAATTAGAAGTTGTAATAATTTCATAGGTATTATTGCTTGAGTACAATTTGAAGATTAAACTTGCAATTGTTATCAAATCTTGCCCGGTTAACGTAATTCAAGGGATGGGACTCGCTTTTTAAGGACGATCTAAGAACTAGAAGTACTTTAAAATTATCTACAGTGGTAGTTCCGGAATTGACTATTGATCCGCATCGCTATGGACCGAGGTGCTGGCCGTACTGCTCTTATCGGGACTGTGGGATCTGCTGTTAGCCGGACTAGAGACTTTGGAAGCACACGACCGCACCGACAGGTCTTCTGGCTCGCTGTCGTAAAAACTTTCTTTGGAAGACTCACTATGAACGGAAGGACTTAGCCTCTTCAACAGATCATTCGCTCCGCTTGCTCCAGGCTCCATTGCTCCAGGTAGGCCATAGCCCTCGACCGTAGGATGCATGGACGCAGCAGCGGCTGCGGCGAATGCAAAGAAATTCAAACTCGCGCTGAACATTTTACACCAATCCAGGAGAGCTCCCTGCCCCTGGCCATCGCCATCAGCCATAGGAATTTGTGTAGAGTTCACAGCTGCTTGGCTGGGCTGAGCCTCGAAGATTGGCTGCAGCATAGAAGGAAGCGCCGCCTGGCTGTTGTTGTTGTTGTTGTTGTTGGTGCTGTTGCTGCTGACAATTGGAGTTGCTGTTGTTGTGGTTGTTGTTGTTGTGGGTGTAAAAGCACAGTCAATGTCATTGTTGTTATTATCGTTGATGTATTGTGTTTGGGTGGGCGATGGACTGTGCTTGGCTGGATCCTTTGCCCAGTTCTTCACGCTTAGCAAGGGACTATTCAACTTCTTGGCTTCGTCCAGCGTGGTGGTGCAGTCCGGTTTCGGATTCGGTATGCTGCTCGGCTCCGTGAAGTTAACTTTGGGTGACAGCTTGGAGTTGAAGAGGGCCAATAAGTTCAGCTGATGCACCATGTTGTTGGTTGAGTAGCCCGGCAGTGATGAAACCGAATCTTTGCTGGCGGCGTGAGCATCCGTTATCTGCTGTATGGCCTCGGGGTGCAAGCTCTTCTGTTTGATAAACTCGACCAAGGCGAACTTCTCCAGCAACGCCTCGTTGTGAGTTGTGTAGGCCATCGCCTGGCAGGGCAAACCGCCGATGCCGAGATCGTCATAACTGGGAATTGTTGCGAATTTCGGGGGCAGCAATTGTAGCTCAAATTTGGCGCGTTTTTCCGGAGGTGTGTCCAGGCTCGCCAGACCCAGGTTGTCCGATCCCAACTGACGGCACATGAATCTTAACTTTTGCTCATTCTTACACCAACCACGAAGCGTTGATTCCGGAACTCCTATGTCCCTCGAAACACTGGCTTTTGTCTCGCCATTATGAATTCTTTGAATTGCCCGCACTTTATCGTTCGGCGTTAAGTTTCGCAGTGGCCGCTTGCCCCGTGTACTCATACGAATATTCATATGCTGGTAGGCTGATATGTCCATTTTGAAATTTCAATTTCAATTTCAATTTCAATTTCAATTGACCGCAAACGGTAGCGATGAATTCTGTGCGCGCTGCTTTTGATTTTACACGAATAAACTGGCAACTGCGATTGCTGCGACAATTGGTGTTCACTCTTCGGATTAACAGAAGGATGTGATTTTAATTCGGCAAGCGTTGTCCTGTCGAAGCCGTGCGTGCTCCAAAGCGAGTTCAACACGTTTGCGGCGAAGAGCGCAAAAACATGCACACGCCTGTGAATGAGTGTGTGTGTAAGTGTGTGTATGTGTATGTACGTGTGCGTGTGTGTACATAAACGGATGACCATTTACCAACACACTCTCAGGCCCACGTGCTCATGCTCTCTCTCGGAGAACAGGCGCGAGAGAAGCGCAGCAACAAGAACAACGAAAGAGCAGTTTACCACCTCAACAACTTGTTACTCTGTCGAGCAGAGTTCGCCTCGCGCACGCTCTGTGCGGCACGTCAGAATGGGAACAGAGGCGACAAATAAGACAAAGGTAGTAAAACTCTTGATTTGGGTACGGTTTGCGTTACCCCTCTCTCAGCTGATTTGTCTTAAGAGCCAAGATTCTTTTGTCCATTCGCCGACAAAATGTATATGAATATGCATATATTTATATATCTATATGTAT